CTCCCTCCGGATGCTGGCGTCCACTTCCTGGGCAATCGAAACGGCACGAGCATATGTCTGGGTCCCGTGACCTACAATGTTGTGACGGACTGCTAGGTAAAGCCCGTCGATGAAGCGTTGTGCCCTCTGTGCCTCCGTACGCACCAAGTCCGGAACAAAAGCTGCAAGTCTGGTAAACTCCCTCTCGTACTCATCAACAGAACGAGTACCCTGCTTGAGCGACAGGAACTGACGCTCCATCTCGGCTCGGTAGTACGTAGGATAGTACATTTCACGGATTAGCTCCTTGAGCCTCTCCCAGGTATAACCCTCTTTGTCACCGGGACGCATGCTCCAGTAGGCATTCCACCAGAGTCGGGCATCGCCGGTTAGCTGAAGCTGTGCGCATATAACGCGATATCAATCTGGACAGTCCATGACCTCGAAAATCAGCTCAAGGCTCTGAATCCACTCGTCCACAATACGGGGATCTCCCTGACCGGAGAATTTCTCAGGATGATAGTCGCGAAACTGTGCAACTATAGTGGCCTGGGAAGAACCGGGCGATCAGGTTCCCTACGGGGCCGCATCTGATCATTGAAAAAGTTCGATATTATTGAACACATGAAAAATACTCTAACTGATTACTAAAGTACACAGATCTCTTGACCAGTTGCCAAACATGGGTGAAAAATACTGATATTATCCTGGGAAAATCTAGAGTTATATATGAGTACACTGAACTATAAATTCTGAAACTGATTCGAGCATCTTAACTAAATCATGATTAATAAATTTCTGAGCACAGACAAAGTGATATGTTTATAACTTAAAAACATAAATCAGCACTTACCTATAATCGACGAGGCGTGAGCGTGACGGTTCAGGTTTTTGCAAAATTTCTAACTCGTAAAAACTTTTCAGAGACGCAGAAACGTGCTCTGATACCAATTGTAACACCCCGCTATTTTATGAAACTCAGAGTGCGCTTTTCGCAAAATTTTCTAAATAAAATATTTATTTTGCGAAATACTGATTCGGAGTGTTACCGTGAAATCTGACTTTATCTGAAAACTGTTATTTTAATTTACTAATAAAAACGGTTGTATAATATAATAACCGACTAACGTCGGATCAAAAGCTGGTTTTGGTAAACTGAACAATAGCGGAAATAACAGTGTAGCCAAAACAACATATATTTATATATACAAATGTCCTGAACCAGTCGCCCGCTCACTCCTCGTCTCCGACTCTGTGACCTGAAAAACATGAATAATGTGGGGGCGTGAGCACTAATCCACTGTTCTCCGCAGAAACTCATACTAAAGTAAACAGTGAAAATAATAACAATATCATGATCCTGGCATATATAACTGAACTGATACTGAACTGATAATTGATACCGGTACTGAATAATCTGATACTGATCTCGTGATAAATATCACCTGACTGATAACTGAACATCTGCCAGCATAAATGCCGGACACCATGTGCACACTCTAGTGGGCAGATTAAGGCCACTAGAACCCAGAATGGACCGGCGACCATTCC